GGTAGATGTAGCTCAAGTCTACTCGCATTATAATCCAGCACAAGTATCCGTCCTTTTACCACCCTGCTGTGGGGTACACGGTAGACGTCGTCGAGAACGACGGTCGAACTGTTACCCATATATTCAATCGTCGCCGATTTCATGGTTAGGTTTGAACTTTTCCCCAACTAATTTCAGTATTGAGAATAATCTTGAAAAATTATATACTAAAGGATTGTCCCAGTAGAGTATTAATGAATTCGCGGATGGCTGCTCAAATTTCCATTCCTGCAGATAAAATAGGCCAACCGCTAGAACCATCTATTTCTATCTTTCCGCTTTTATATAAATAAGGTGCAATAAATCTGACAGATCTTTTGCATAAGCCAGGAAAATCTGTTGTCATTCCTCTGTATCAGACGCCTGTCGACAACTAGGCATTCCCAATTCAGCGGAATAAAATCTTCACTATTCCTTATTAAGCTAATGCTGTTTTCCGGTCACATGACAGGACACAAGAACGTTGAGAATGATGATGGTCTACATCCCAGTGGTGTCCTTAGTACATCAGCGATGTTGGAGATGTCGAAAATGAGCGCTGAATCTTCACCATCAGTTCGGTCTTCTGTCAGACCGTCAGTGTACCACGATAAGACCATCGAGTTGTGCGGAGATAACACTGTTGACAGGAGGTCCTCTGACGCGGAAAGAGAAGTCAAACGCATCCTTCTTGGCAACGGTGTCGTCATCCAGTTGTTGGAAAAAGTTGGTTTTGAGTCATCCACTGGTGTCCGGGTAAGACACTTTCTTTGTCAAAAAGCGGTTCAATTTTTCTCTTTTTGTTTGCTTGCTTTCCCTCCTAACCAAATAATATAAATCATAATTGGTTCTAGGTGGACAGAGACAATGGTATTATTGTGCTAGTACAGTATGGCGAGTGCTGCATGCAACATGCGTAAGTTTGTAAAAGTTTGATCATCACTCGCATAACGGCGTGAACGCATTTTCCAAAACTTAAAAAAATAATGAACAGCCTTAGGCATATTAAGTACTGAAAAGAACAAGAAGAAGTACTAAGTGTTTTTTAAGAAAAATAAAATTTTCCGGATAATGCCCAATTCCGGAGACGTAAAAATAGCTATAAATTAGAACAATAAGTTTAAATCTTTCCGAACATTGAAAGCGTAATGTAACCAATTTCCTTATATAAAAAGAAATTTTCTTTAGCCAAAATATTTTGTACATATTATCAGTAGTGGATAACTATTTATTGAATATCGTCGAATAAAGTCTGGTATCGTTTTGATCGTTTTTAATGTCTTCATTGATAAATTAATAAATTGTGCTGCTGTTCGACGTTTACATCAAAACCTTTAAAATAAGATATACATAAAGAGCCTTTACCGAAAAAATGAGTTTATGGATATTAGTTCTTATGAAGATGGCCATGTTGCTCATATTTAGACATGCCTGAACACAGCAAACCACATCGTCGAGATTAAATAATGTCCGCAACAGAATTCTGATATTTTTATACCTAATATTAATAAAAAACTTTTCATAAAAGGTTACCTCTGTAAAATATGCTTTGATTAGATATTCGGCTGACGAATTTCCGTGTATATTAACTTTTTCCAAGGTAAAGTCACAATGAAATTGGAGACTTTTGACAATTTCTTTAACTAACCTGAAGAAAAACGATTCAATTTGACTGGAGATTAAAGAACTTACTTTTCTTTTTATGGTGGATTATGTTCCGCATAAGTGGATTAATTCCACGATCTGTTATAATCTTGCGAATGCAAAAAAGACTGGCCATCTATATGGCTATTTTTCGAAATACTTTTTATTCTTCTGTCTGTTCCGTTTCTTAATAACACATAAGCGGAACGGGTAGTTTACAAAAACTTATATTTCTACCTGATTTACATTTAATATGGCCCCCTTTACATCACCTTTACGGTAACATCTATGGCAAATTTTGCTTATGCGCTCATAGTTATCGGTAGAATAAAACAATTTTGTCGTACAAACTTATTACTGCACTCTATGACACAAAACTTAACAGAATAGCAAATATAATTTTTAAAATTTAAATTGTTACTTGTTTCTGAAAATAAATGCGATTTCTTAAACCTGGCTTCCCTTTCATTTGGTCAACTTCGCACAAAAGTTTCCAGTTCTGGAAGGGATAATGTTTCCACTTTTTTCTACTTATCCTGGAATGCTTACATAGCACAATGCAAATTAATACGTTGTACGTCGTACGTTATAGCAAAGAAAATTTATTCGTTATAAACTTACTCATAATTTAGCCAAAATGAGTGCCTATTTCACTCCATTACTTTAACCAAGAGGGCAGTTTTCTAAACTAAAGCCTTTCTAATGGTTAAGTCCACTCAGTTGATCAAAATAACCTGCCCAAATATGTGCTCAACTGCCAAGTTAAGTCTCGTCATGAAAATTGCATGCAGGACTTCCCATACTGTATCTGTGATCAAAATTACACCCGCCTGCATACTCAATTAGATGTGCGTTTCTAACGTATGTGAGCGCAAAACTAATACGAACGGTCCCATAGACACATGATGATCGAGATGTCATCAACCCCGTAATCTTCCTCTGATTAATTGCATCGATAACTCAAGGTTGCTGGAGTATACAGTTCGCTGAAATAGGACGTGATGGTCTTAAATGTGCTTTCTGGCCATTAGTCGAAGTTAATTTTTCCCAGGACTGATGCCAAACTTCCCCATAACAAAATTCGCTTTTGGTTAGAAATTCTCTGTTGCGCAAACCCGATTTTTCCTACTTGCGAGAACTAGTCTGTGTGCCTAGCGTATACAAGAGGATGTATTTCTTCCAATAAGTCTCGTTCTCCTAGACGGGTCATCTTTTTGTGAAAGATACAGAAGAATAATACAAGAGCTCGGGTATATGGTAGATTTATAATTATGCAGGTGAGATTACTGGATGAACTTGAAAGAGAGAACGGCATTTCTGAGGTGGTTAGACATGAAATTGTGAGGTACTTTAGCAATACTGAGTGCTAAACTAACGGAATGTGTGCTTTTTGAGTCTAATATAGACAACTGCTGAGCCTCTGATACAAAAGCAAAATTCGACAAACCGGCAGTCCAAGTGTGATCTGCTTTCATGTATGATATGCGGGTTGATAACCGATAATCTACAGGCGAAATAATTGACTCTAGAGATTGCTAACAAGTAAAAGAAGCAGGCTTTTAGCTCGATTTTCATCGCTCTTCTACCTTACGGTTATATATAGAGTTTGCTATAATTAATTACTATATAGGGGTTATTTCTTTCCTTTAGATAGCATGACATAACTGAACATGAATGTTTCTGCATTACTACGGGCGGTAATAAGCCTGGCTGTCTAACAGGTGGCAAGCTGCTAATTCAGCCTCTGTGGCCTATCTACATCCAGCATGCTTCGCTTTTTACTGTCCAAGCAGTCCTATGAGTGGATGGGAATCAAGTTTAAAATTTGTTACAATCTGCTTGATAAATCACCTGCCATCTTGGAGTATTCTAAGTGTTAAGGATGTTGCGGCCCGGGCTGTCAGTCGTTTATATAGGTTGCCGTTATGTTCTTTCGCAGAGCTCAGTGTATCATGCATATGGATTATCGAAAGGTTTTTCTGGCTTCTTTATCGGTGAGCAAACTAAAGGTGTATAAGATAAGCAAAAAGGATTATTCCCTGTAGTTGATTTAGGTGTTGATCATTGTTCTGTTTCTTCCGATATTTTGTTGCATTGTTGCTACAAATGGCTTCTCACCCCCGTCCCCACCATCAGATCCTCTTTCCGGATGGAAGTGTTGCAGAGACCGAAACGGTGCGCGCAGCACTATACTTCTGCGAGAATCCTCCAAAGTTCCCTGAATTCACGAACACTCCGTTTGAGTCGTACACCAGCCACTTAAGCATACCTCCCGTCAGTTCGGAAGCCAATCCCGCAGAAACCCATCGCAGAGCCTCTAGGAAGCAGTCTAGTGTGCAATCAAAGCCACCGACCCGATCACTAAAAGGTATCATCGGGCACGCTTCCTAGAAAAAGCTTCATACATTTTTATACGTCCCGCATAATCCTGTTGAATGAATAGCACAGTGACCAGCGAAAATAGTTAAACCTGACTGAGAGACGATAAAATGCTATAGTAGCCAGTTTTAAATGAAAAGCATCATGTTCTTCATTAGTTTTACTCACCCATAGTTTTTAATTTTAACTTCCTTCTTCGCAATGGGTACACACTTCCAACTGCTGACAATTACATTCTCGCGGTGCCTACTTCTGAATGGCTTTGTACTGATCACTATAAGTGTTAATTGAAGGCTACAGATCGGAATATCACAAGTCTCAAGGTGGTTATCACTATAACAGTCGATAGGAGATTAGATGACGCTGTTTTTGAGACTGCAATATAAGGGATGAAAAGCTAGTGGAATGTGCGGAAATGGTTCAGTATAAACGACTAATGGGTCACGTATCGAGAATTATATTACTGGCATGCCTTCTAAGCAGACCGCGGGGTAAATGCGCTTAACCAACACGGAGGCCAGCTCAGAGCAGGGCAGCTGTTACTTACGCTGTGCTCCCATAACAAATATCCAGCATGGGGTGGGGCTTTGGTTGCACGCGTAGCTGAAGACTCAGGCACCAGCCGCCCGCCAGCGCCCGATCCCGTCTCCAGTCTTCCTAACGCTGTCTAGACACTGGGCTCAGATGGGTGAGCGAATAGAGAGAGAGGTTATGCGGTAGATGCAACGCACGTGTTTATCACTTAAAAATAATTTATGCATAAGTCACTGTCCCTGGACCACCAAGTAGTAAAGCCAACGGTGGACATATTCAGAACTGACGGCCGAGTTGTCGTGTTACCGACACAGACAGCGACGACGGAGTGGAGGTTTCTGGTTTATATGCCTTCGTTAGTAAGACCGAGGGTTAAAACAGGGCCAGTTGGGTATCGAATAACACTCTCATTACTACACCTTGAAGTGATTTCTGGTCATCTGAAAGGTCCAATCAGTGATTTTTGTTGATTGTGGACGAAAATAAACAGAAATACACCGTAGGCCTTCCCCGATTATCCACGGGCTCGGTACCGAACATCGGGTAGGCAGCTCGCAGATTTTGGGAGATCAATAGCCGCTGACGGCAAATAAGTCACTCCAGCGTCCCTGTCATTACCAGTAAAAACCGCTTTATCTTTGAACGCTGCCTGCGTGTGACGTGGCACTCAATTTCTCTACGGTACCGGAGATATCTGTGAGGTAGAAGAACAACAATAGACAACAGACAGACAGGTTGAATCCCCCATTCAACTGAATGGCGGCTTTCCGTTAAGCAGAGATTTGTACAGCTAGCAGTTGCCTATCAGCAGTTGCTGCAGTCTGCGTTTTTGAACCACCTGCGATTTTACGCGGAATTATCCTTTACAATCTGGATACATGCACATCAACTTAAAGGACGCCTTGGGGTAAGACAACCCGCCCTCCTGTGTTGGAAGCTAAAAACAGACGATGATCAACCAAACCACAAAACTACCAATGTTGGGGCAGCGAAGGAACATTCGCTGGTACCACTGCGGGCTTTACTCGTGTATCGGGTGCCTTTAGTGCACATACCTATGAAAGGTTGATTCCGGTGAGGGATCGGCCATCCCAAACGGCGATGTCAACCGCGCTTTTCCCGGATTGGATGTAACACCGCTGATTTGCGCGTGAATTAGTTAATAGTGAGTCAAGTTGGCACAGCATCTGTCACTCTCTCTCTCTTCTTCCGCCTACCAATGTTGCGACAATTTCAAAACGATTGAGCCTGGGTGTGAACGCAGTGGCTGAGGAAACTATCTGTGCTATACACGACCTGGTTTACATCAAATATACCAGATTTCTTTAAGAGCTGTTCAGATCTCAGCCGGGTGACTTACGCCTGGATTCGTTTTAAGTGGGTGTAGACTTTCGTTGAATGTGCCTCACTCCCTCTTCCTCGTCTAACGGGGCCTGATCATCCTGAGTACGTCATGAAGACTGAAGACGGGAGGGAGTACAAGCGGCTAGTGCGACGGGAGCTGCCCCAATGCATGCCGCCACACCTGGCTCGGATCGCACGGAGTGGGGATGCCAGAAAGGCCAAATTAGGATGGAGCCATAACAGTCTGACTCTTAGTCTGCCAGTCAGTCACTCCACACAAACGCACACTGGGCTGACCGCGCCGTCCGAGTTAATTAGTCAGATGGCTACTTTTCAGGCCACGGCTTATAGCGCGTCAGATTTTAGTGAGAAATGTGCGCTCAGCCGTCGAATTCATTCTATTCTTTTTCCAGGACGCAGTCACTCGAGTGAGAATACTATAAGGGGAACA